CAGTAAAAAGCTATACTACAGCCATAAAGAGCTATACTTTGGCATAAAGAGCTATACTTTCATGATAATATGTTACACTTTAGTATAAAGAGCTATAATTTTTCAAAAACTAAAAAATAAGAGTGGACCTCTCGTCGACATGAATAATTGATCAAACAACACATTGTATATATCATCACACGTTTATATTACTCAGAAAAAACTGATTTGATTTATTCTACTACGTTTTAAATTTTTCAGAGACCATAAAGAGCTATGTTTTATCAGTAAAGAGCTATACTATGGTCATAAAGAGCGATATTTTGGTGAAGAGGCAGTCAAAGACGGTGGTTCGCCGGAGCATTTGGAGCTCGATGGAGAGAAAAAACGTCACTGTCTCCAATTCTCCAGCTTGAACAGCTCTGAAGAATTCGTGCTCCTCACTTGACGAGCACATGTTAGAGACTAGCTCAGTCCCACATACCCCCCTTCCGCAGCCACTATCGGAGCTTTGCCTCGACGCGTGATAAAGCCGAAGTGTATTTTGCAACGGGAGAGAGTTTAGGGAGTGGGAGAGAAGATAGTTTGAAAGAATTCATGCTAGTTGCTCCTAGATTTTGATTTTGTGAAACAAATGAAGGAAAAAAAAGGAGAGAGATAGGTTTATCTGGGGAAGAAGGTTAATTTTGGAATTTTGTATTTATTGGAAAAATATAGTATAAGTATTGAGGATATTGTACAGAGCGGGTTTAAAAATAAGTGGTTTGGGGTACATTAGGTTTATAAGTGTTCATAAAAGTTGGTGGGTTTTTAAATAAGTTGGGGTAAAACTTTGGGTTAGAAGACAAAGACCCCTTTTCTTAAACGATTTCGTTCCCATTTTGTACTTTTAAATCAAACTAAAGAATAGATTCCATAATATTTGTAAGCCCAAAAAAATAAACAAATAAACAAGCAAACAAATAAAAAGCTTTCATATTTGTAAGCCCAAACAAACAAACAAATAGACAAACAAACAAAAAACTTTCCATGAAGTACTTAGAAACCCTTGAAAAATGGTATTAAGCACTCTTTTTATTTCCTTTTTTTGTTTATTTTATAAAATGAACCAAAGAGACCCTTAGTTGAAGTATGTGATATTGCGTGGAAAGTTTTGTTCTTATGTACTTTATATAATTTTCTATATTATTTTCTATGCGTTTGTCCTAATCAATTAAGGATGGTTTAGACTTTTTATCCAAGCTATTGTGATGTTCCCAAAAAAATTTTACTAGTTCATGGAAATAATTTCCCTTTTAAAAGTTAATGGTAATTATTTTCTCTAATAAAAAAGATTATGGTAGTTTTGCAAAATCCCTAAAGACATTATAGTTTTGTGAAATTTATCCAAAATAATGTTTTTCCTTCTTTTTTTTTGGCCAAGATAACCGTACCTATTTACGAAGAACGTCCAAACTAAATGCCTTTGATTTTGTCTGTTTGTACCACATTCTACTAAAAAAACAAATTAGACACCATCATTTTTTAAGTCATAGATAGATCTGACATCAAATTCTCTATATATTCTTTTATCTTTATAGCTATATGTGTCCGCAGCCTTTGTTGATTTTTGAGACAAATAAGCTCAATAATCTTGAACTTTAAAAGAGTAAACCCCTAGCCATCTAAGATGCAGAGAACCATCGTCTCCCCCCAACTTTTATTAGTCAATGCATGCTCTTAATTTTGATCGAGTAGCTCATGATGACATAACTTGATTCACGTACGTACTAACGTACGCATCTTGGAGTTTTTCTATTGACCTTTTAATTTTCATAGATACGCTAATAAGCGACAAACGAACACTAACAACATTATGGCCTATGGGGGTCGGTTTAATTACTTTGAAGATTTTTGTGCAAGGAGGTTCATATTTTGGTTCATTAATGAACCCAAATCTGACTCGCTTCCCGTTCTGATTGGCTGCTAAGCGACAAAGCTGTAATAATATTTGTGTACTTTGATCTCCTGATGGTCAACAAAGTTTATCTCTTTGTTATTTGCATTTATGTTCTGGGGTGGAAAAGAATCAAATAATTAACAAATAGTTTGTTTAGTTATTATTTAACTAACTAACTATTCGGTCATATTTGATTTAGTAGTTCATTTATCACTAAGCCAATAGTATTTAGTATTCGATTAGATTCGTTTGTTTACCAGCCCAATTGTGCTACAGAACATGTGTACCCTACACACTCTAGTCACTGAAATATCGCAAATCTGTTTGCATATATATAAACTATACATATCTAAGCTAATGCGTTTGTTTATTGCATGCTCGTTCCGCACGCTAATTTTGACTCGATTATACTATATATGATTGTAAACTGTCTATATGACTAAGATTCGAAAACGTGCTAGAACTGATCTCAGTTTAATTATGTCCAACCATAATGTAGTTAAATGAGGTGATTACTAAATTTTATTTTCATTTATTTAAAAGAAGAAGATGAAGACAAGGAGCTTAAAGCGTTGACTTCTCCTTTTGAATATGCAATTAATAACGAATTGTCTTGGAAACTGATAATCATGGCATACTCTTCTTCATTTTAACACTGAATCCCACATGCTTTATTAAGTCTCTAATTAAGTTAATTAAGACGGCTAATCATTATCCTAATCGCTATCTAATTGAACATGAAGTGCACGGGCTGGGAGAGTAGAACGTGTTATATTTATACAAGAAATTAGTTCTCAACGTGCATCAACTTGCATATATATAATAGGGGGAAATGGGTAAGACTTAACAACTTATTTTTCTGAATCAACCATCAAAAAAATAAGCTAATCATAATACTAACGGGAGGGATAAACCTCATGACTTTCGTAATTCCGTACACCAACTTAATTTGGATGAATGATAGTAAACATGAATTGGCTTGATGCTGAAAATAGGGGGAAATAAAAATGAAGGGGTTTTTTTTCCTTTGTGTGTGTGTGTTTCCCTTTCTTTCTTTCTTTCCTTTTTGTGTGTGTGTGTGTTTCTCTTTCTTTCTTTCTTTTTTTTTTTTTTTTGTTGGGGGGTGGAAATGAAGGATGAATTCAAGACTTCGTAGCACAAGTCCATTCTTGAAGATCACCGAGTAAGCAATAAAAGGTCAATAAAACAAAGGGAAAATTTTTCCCGACATTTACTATAAACTACCAACTAATTTTCTAACATGTCGGTTGCTATTACATTAATGACATTGTCATTAATGTATCTTAGATACAAACCACATGATATATGATACAGGTAGGCAATTCGACATGTGAAAAGATCATACATTCAGTTACATCAACTTGTAGTGTTAAGTACTCTATTTTTCCGAATATTCTATGAGCAGAATTTATCATAAATGGTAATATATTTGACTGACTACCTAAAGAAATGCTATTCACAGATCTTAGAGGAGAATTATGCACGCAGAGAATTGATTAATGACAAAAGCTCTTTGCTTGTAGCGTTTAGATCAAGAAGATAGCGAGGTCTTAAGCAAGTACATATTCTATAGGATAAATGAACTTGATGACTTTTTTTTGCTAACTAATTTGAGGTCTTTGTACTATTAAATTTCTTGTTTGCTTAGGGAGTTAGAGAACATAAGAAAACTCAGTTTAGATCGGATCTAGGAATAAACGCATAATTGATCATAGGTCTTTTAGGATATAGAATTGTTAGCAACTACTCATATCATTTCCTTCAAAAAGAAAAAAGAAAACCAACTAATCATAACCTTAATGTTCTCCCGTGACTTTTTAATCCTTAATGCTATTGAAATTTACTGCTAAACCTATCTGAATCTACTTCAAACCTACCTCCATTTTATTTTAAATAAAATCAGAATATGGTTAACTTTAAATTCAACAAAGATCGAAAGTATGAAATTTTCGTGTAAATATCACATGCCACGAGGAAATATTATTCAGACAAATATTCTCACATTTGCATAATAGAACATCGAATATGCCAATTTATATAACTTTAGGATACATTAATGTTATGAAAAAAAAATAAGGGAGGATATATAATTACAAATTATAGCAAACTATAACAAGTATTTATGTGCCAATTATTTACTAGTTGACATCGGTTAACAGATTGGGATCCTCTCCATTATTAAAAAAAATAGTGAAGATGTCACTACATCAATCCTAAGAGTCTATTGTTTAACGAATGATTGTGATTTTTCTTCTTGAGCCTAAAATAGGAATGAGTATAATTTATGAGGTATGTAATAAGTATTAAATTTAGAATGAATTATAATCATTCATTAAATAATCAATGATTACTATCAAAAGCAGTGATATCTCCAGTATTTTTTCATAGTGAGAGAGGATCAAATCCTTGCATAACTTAGGGATTTTTTATACAAAACCACCACAAAATATAGGGGATTTTCGGAGAACCACCATAATTTTTTTTTATTTTCATAAAACCATCACAAAATATACTAGTTTTTGGGAAAACCACCACAAATATTTTATTTTCATACAACCATCATGAAAATACGAATCTTTTACAAAGTCCCACCAAAAATCACAATTTACATCAGTATTTTGTTGGCACTTTCTTATAGATACATATTTTCATGATGGTTCTATGAAAGTAAAAAGAAATTTAGACTTGTTCTCCGAAAAATCACTATGTGGGGTTTATGAAAATAAAAAAATTATTGTGATTTTCTAAAAAGTCACTATATTTTACAGTGGTTTTCTATTAAAACCATATTTAATATTATGCATATTTTTCCCACCAAACCACCGAATTAAATTTGCTACTGATGATCCGCCCATTATACAATAAGAGGAGGACATCTCACTATTTTCTTTGTTGGTCCTATATTTTGGATCTGATTTTTCTTTTGTGAAACGCCACTGACAAACCACCGGCGACGTAAACTTTATTCCCACACGTGTCCGTGGCGACAGTGGGAAGCAACAAAGGCGGTTACACTTTAACTTCACCCCCTCTCTCTCTCTCTCTCTCTCTCTCGAACTTTCCCTCCCTTATATATACCCCAGCCCCCTCCTCTCTTTCCTCCCGGAATCAGAAAGCCGAGGCCTCGATCGATGTGTTTTGTGTTCGTCTGCGACGAGGAGGAGAGGGTTCTGGGGACCCACCAGGCTCCGGGCACCTGCCCGTACTGCGGCGGAGTAGTTATGGCCACCGACGTCGAGAGCGCGTGGAGGCTCTGCTTTCTCCCGCTCCGTTTCAAGACGAAGAGGAAGTATTACTGCTCTACTTGTTCGAGGCGTTTAGTTACTTATCCCTAAATTTGGATTGGTGTGGATTAATCAATTGGTTGATTTTGGTGTGGGTGTATTTTGATTTTTGGTGGGTCTCGATCGTTGTAAAGGAAGGAAGGAGGAAAAAAAAAAATTGAATTCGGGGTCAGGTGCGTAGAGATAATTCCGGGGTTAGTTTTGGTGATTTTTGAGTTTCTTGGTTTTGGGGTGTTTTGGTGGGAGCTCGTAATTTGAGGAGTTGGATAAATTATGTATCGAACTTTTAGTGGTCTCTTGATCTTGTATATATCTGAGTTTATTAGAGTTTAATTTCTTTTTTTTCTTCCTTCTGCCCCCCTGCTTTCCTTCTCTTTTTTATTATTTCTTTGTGTTTTGTGTGTGTCGAGAAGTATCATTTATGAGGGAATTAATATGATTCAGTTAATCATTCGTTTTTATTTTGATTTTGATTTTTCTTTTCTTGATTAATTCTATTAACAACATCATTTTGATTAAGTTGAGAGTATTTGAGAGGGAACTAATATGATTCATTTAGTCATTCTTTTTTATTTTGATTTTTTCCCCTTGATTAATTCTATTAAAGACGTTATTTTTATTAACTAGGAGTGACACATGTGCATTGCACCACGTGGTTATTTGTTCAATTTACTTCTTTAGTATAACTTTGGTTGTAAAAGTATTTCTTTTAAATCCCAACTTAATGATGTAATATTATCTGTGAACTTTCTTAATACTTACATTTATATACCTTCAGCTTCCATTTTATGTGTTGTTGTGATCATAAACAATGTAAGCTATAAATTATTAGAAAAGATTATTCACTTATAAACCATGAGCAATTTATGCTACACATTATTTGAAAAGATTATTCGCTCATATAGTAATCAATTTTTTCGATGACTCAAATCTAATAAAAACAGATGATATAAAATTCTTAGGAAGTAAAAAAGAAAAAGGGAAAATAATCTTCTGTCTTAATCTTTAATGACTATAGAATAACAAAACCTATCATCATTTAAGAAAACATCTCCATAAGTTTGTAAAAATAACCACATTGAACTATTAGGTTGCTCAAGTCTTATTATTTTAAAATTAATTTGTCAAATCATTGAAATAGCTATTATATCTATAATTCTTAAGTTATTTTGATATCAGCTTCTCCAATTAAGAGTAAAAAAAGAAATTAGAGAGAAATTCTCCAATTAAGAGTAAAAAAAGAAATTAGAGAGAAATTCTCCAATTAAGAGTAAAAAAAGAAATTAGAGAGAAATTCTCCAATTAAGAGTAAAAAAAGAAATTAGAGAGAAATTCTCCAATTAAGAGTAAAAAAAGAAATTAGAGAGAAATTAGTCCCTCAAATTGCTAATTATAATATTAATTTGAATGACTACTTTTAAATAACTTAAGAATTGAGTTACCTAATAATAATTTCAATGCTTTGACAGGCTAATTTTAAAATATGAAAGGTTTAAGGGATTACTACAAAAAATACTTTAATCAATTAATTTTTGTTAATAATTAATTAATTTCATAATTTGGTATCAATTAATTGGTTAATATTTACGCGTGCAATGCATGTTATGTTTACAATGCTAATGTGCTCTAAGTTTCTTTCTGCTCTTTAGTTGTTTACCAATTCTAATTAGATTAACTTTTTATTAATTGGTTTTGAATGGAGAGAGTTTTAATTCGGGAGTTTAAGCTTCCTTATACTCTTTAGTTGTCAACCAATTCTAATTAAATCAATTTTTTATTAATTAGTTTTGGATGGAGAGAACTTTAATTCAGGAGTTTAATTTTAATTTAATGGTTTTAGTTGATAACCAATTATAATTAGGATAAGAAAGTTAATATTAAAAAAGATTAAGAATAAAATTGACCAATGAAAATTTTTCAAGAACCCCCACTTTTAAAGGGGGTATGATTTGAGAGTATTTGCTACTCATAATTACAAGGTTAGATTCAGAAGCTTCTTGGAAAGTAATTATCTGTTTTGCGGAGTTCTCTTCAGGTTGTGTAGAGTCAAGAGCTTCTCTTTTTCCCTCTTGTTTGTGGAATATTTTAAAGTCTTCTTTATGCATTGTGATATAAAATTCAGCATCTCTCTCAACAAAAATGCAAATGAGAAAAGGAAAGGATGGACTCAGTTCATTTATTTGGAGACAGAATCCGACAACGATTAGATTTGTTATATCTTTAGAATTACTGAGTTTAATGAACTCTTGAGAGTTAAACATGTATCATGATTAACTGACTGAGTAGTATAAATCAGAAACTTCAACCCGATTGTGAGCATCGCCAATCTCTCGGGCAGCCTAAGTCTGAGACGAAAAGCATCTTCAAGTCGGGTTCGGCTAGAAGAACCCAAGTCCTAGAGAAAAAGTGTCTTCAACTCAAACCCTCACAAAGGATATCTCATATGATGAGACGACCTACCAGCTGTAGCAGTCATACTCTGTCGCTCAATCGCCATCACAGTTAATACTTGTCCAAAGTCATTATGAATCTTTGGGCATAAGTTATAATGACTCTTTGGATGACGCTAGTATTTTTATGCATTCTATCATTGTCGCATTTAACGCAAAAGTGACTCATTCGGCCAATTGCCGATGTGTTTAAAGTGCGTTCTGATTAGTCGAATGTACAAATCTAATCAAATTACCAACGTGCCCCTTGCCAACCCCTTTATAAATAATGGGCAATCTCCATTACCTTATTGGACGCAAGAATAGTGAACAATGCCTTAAAATTAGATTCTGCATTTTGCAAATTTGCTTAATCTATCATTGACTTGAGCGTCAAAGAGCACGCCGAAGAGATCATCTCCGGACCTCTAATGAGTGTTACCCGTGTAAAAATATGCTTCCTTCTCATTGATCAACTATTAAGGAAGATTAAGGTAAGGGATCCTAAACTCCTCTAAATACCCTCTTACCTACACAATCCATTCTCTAACATAAACGAGATTAGTGAAGCCTAGAGGTAGTTTAGGATTGAAGATGTGTACAAGGATTTGCGTTTATAATGTTTGTTCTTATATTAATTTTGAGCGGGGAAAAGGTGTTCATCCTTTTCTCTAAAAGGGCCCCGGAACTCGTTTAGGATTAGATTGATTACTCATAATATGCATTAAGATAGATTTATGCAGTGTGTGACAATTGTTGGGGGAAAAACCCAATTGTTGTTAAAAACCGTGTCGAGGAACCAAACCAAACGCCGATCAAAGAGGGCCAAAACCAACCAAAATCAATGCACAAACAAAACACTAATTTTAACGTGGTTCAGCAATTGCCTACGTCCACAGGGAAAGAAGGGGATGAGGTTTTCACTAATAGAGAAGAAGAGTACAACTTGAGATTACAAATCACTCAAAGGAATAAACTAATCTCACAAACAAAGCTCTTAATCTCTCCAAATAAACCCTAATCAAATAGCTCAGAAAATACATCTTTTCTATGCTCCAAATATCCCAAACTCTTGCCTTAAGAAACCCTAGAACGTATATTGGTATTTATACAAACACCAAAATCCAAATCATAACAAGAAACTCAAACTGGGCCTGACCCGATACGCGGCGCCCAACGACAGAGCCTGTAAATGCGTTACAGGGTCTGGCGATCGACCGTGGCGGTCGACCGCGACAAACGACAGAGCCCAAAAATCTCCTACAGGGTCACGATTCTCCCAGATATGTCTTTTTCATTCCGTCGAAAATCGATTTTTATGGTATAGACGCTTATGACTTTACCTAGCCAACACTTCGATCCGGCTCTACCCAAACTTTTTTGGTTCACCCCAACATTACCCACTTGTCCGACTGTTGCTAAGCAGTTTTTGGATATCAAACAGACCTCCCTAGAAGGTAATCTTAATGTGACGCGGTCGACCGCGGCGGTCGACCGCACCAAGTCCAGGCTCATGTATGAGCCTGTGCACGTTCGCGGTCGACCGGCCTTGCGCCACGGTCGACTGCGCAGCTTCAAAACAGTTCCCTGAGGTCTTCCAACACCTGTTCTTCACTAAACTTCTCGCGGTTTCTTCAATGACAATGTGGAGCAATGATCTTATATTTCTAATTCAGAAAATTTTAGCATATTGACATTATCAGAGCATCAATTAAATTTAAGCTTTTTTATTGGAAGTAGTAGTAATCCCGCGCTGAACGCTGCCTAGTGTTTTGTTCTGCATCTAGTCAGGATTGGTCTTGTGTCGTTGATTTTGTTGTATTCTTTTAAGGAAAAATTGCTTCAAGGCCCCAAATTTATATTTTCAATATGCTTCAGCCCCCCCAACTTTCAAACATGTGCTGCAGCCCCACCTTTTTGAAAAAATTATTAAAAACCCCTCTCCCCAAGTTCCTATGCAAACTTTATACACAATCCCCATTTTACCCTCCCCTACACACCCCTCCTCCTCCTCCGTTCCCCCTCTGCCTCCGCCCCGCCTCCCTCCCCTCCCCCTACACCTCCTCCCCCCCCCCGCCTCCCCCGTCGCCAGCGCGTCCCGAGGAACTTCGCGTGGGCACATTAATGTTAACTCTTTTTTTGTAACATGTTAACTCTTTTCTGTAACATGTTAACTCTTACAGCTAACATGTTAGCTGTAAGAGTTAACATGTGAGCTGTTAGAGTTAACATGTTAGCTGTAAGAGTTAACATGTTAGCTGTAAGAATTAACATGTTATCTGTAAGAGTTAACATGTTACAGAAAAGAGTTAACATTTTACAGAAAAGAGTTAACATGTTACCGAAAAGAGTTAACATGTTACAGAAAAGATTTAACATCCACTAACATAAGAAAGAGGAGGGTAAATTCGGGATTTAAATCAGCTGATATGTCTAATCATGAGCTGGCATGTCTTAAATTCGGGATTTAAATCAGCTGATATGTCTAATCATGAGCTGGCATGTCTAATCAAGTGCTGAAATGAGCTGGAATCATGATGGAGGGGCTTGGCCATATTTTTTTCAAAAAGGAGGGGCTAAAGAACATTAAAAAAAGTAGGAGGGGCTAGAGCGTATTGAAAATATAAATTTGGGGCCTAGAAGCAATTTTTCCTTCTTTTAACTCTATCAAATATAAAACAGCCGAATAATAAGATAGAATAACACCAAACTGTATAATCACAATTAAAAATTAACAAAATTTTACTCTATTAAGTTTGAAACAACCAAATAACAAGGTATAACTTCAACTAAAATTTAATTTAATGTAGGTTTGAACAGTGATGTTAAGCTTCGAAAATTTTCTGGTAAATGAAGAGTAGTGTTTAAAATTTAAACTTTAGCCCTTGCATGAACATTGTTCCAATGATTCAGAATTATA